GGGGTGGGGGGTTGGCCAAACTCATAGGGTGACATGCACCAGATCTGTTCAACTTAAAATAATCAGATCTCACATTGGTCCTCTATGGGAATTCGTTTGACGGAGATAATTTTATTCCCATAGACGCCCTTTATGAAACGATATCAGTTTAAAGTTAATAAAGTTAAACGGATCAGGTGCATGTCACCCATAATGTTGGAATGGTGGGGGTGGGGGGTCGTTCCCCCCCCCCCCCCCTCCTCGGATTCCGAAGTGTCCCGGACTAAGCGCCTTCCATTCATGGCGATGGATGACAGTCATCGATTGATCCAGGCATCGGCGGGGTGCATTCTCTCCCGTCTCCCTACAGAGCGAGAAGGGAGGGACAAACTAAGGACTGAGGGTTCCGATCGGAGGGGAACGGGCAGAAGAAGAAACGAACGAAGCAGCCTCCGACTCCGTGGCTATTGCGCTCTTTGTGGCACGCGAGGCAGACATCCCACGGTTCCCACTCGGCCTCCTCGCCCTCGAGCCACTAGGAGAGAGAGGTTTTTCTCATCCGTCTTCGCGAAGGAAGAGATGGAGGGCGAGGACGGGACTCGATTCCGCCGCGATTTTCTTTCGTTCCGTCGGTTCCCCCGGGGATGGATCGCATTTTTGTCGAAGGAGGTTCATGCAGACGATAAGGAGAGGAGGAGCGAGCACTCGCCTCGCGTCTCTTCTCCGTATACCCCGGCAGCGAGGGATTCGTTTGTAGTCGCCAAAGATCGAAGGCGAATCAGGTGTGAAACGTTCTCGTCGTCGGACCTGCTCTTGGTACCCTTGGGGCTTTCACCCCAATATTTTTATACGCCGAGAAAATGTTAACTTCGAGAGGTTTCCGAACTGTCCTCCGTTTCGAGCCGAGTGGAAGTATCGAGAAAAAAAAACTGTAAACCATGAAATGCTTAGCCAACTCTCGTCGATCCTGATCGAAGGGACGAGGAATTTTTTTCCGTCTTCGCGAAAACGCGGGTCGCGTCGGGTCGATCGGGCCGACCCCGCACCCCGCACCCCGCGTCTCCTCGGAACTCGACGTCTTCGGAGCGGCTCTGCTGGCTCTTCCGGCGTCCCATGACGTCACGTTCGTGCCGGTCCGATCAACGCACTCACAGTCCGCTCGCGTTCCGATTGCAACTGCTCGCCCGAGAGTGACGTCATTTGAGGACGCGATAGCGGAAACGATCCCCACGATAGCGTATTTGCCTGCATCCGACCGGAACCTCGATCGCCAACCGATCGGGTCGATCCGGTGGAACTCATCTCGTGCTACAGGGGAGCTCATCTCGTGCTCGTGGCTCGAGATCGTGCTCCGATCCCCGTCACCCGATACCCGGATTTTCGAAATTCCAACGACGCGCCTCGCGTGGGTGCCACGAGACGGAACCGGCCGAGAATCGCATTTCGTGGAGCCCGAGGAATCCCCCGACGACGCGACGCGTCCGCTTTCGTCCATCCAAGGCGTGGCCGTTTCAAACTCGGACGTCATCCTTCGAGGATTCTGCGAGACAGAACGCACTCGAAATCGTGGTCGACTCTCTCCGGGGACACTGGCACGAACGTGGACGGGTTCGATTCCATGCATTTCAAATCGGCGGAAAAAAATATTTAAAAGAAACCGATCCCCAACCGCTCGGATGCCACAGATGCTGCCGATCTGTCGGGAGATTTCATTGCAGTCGGCATCACCGTTCCCCCAGCTCGAAAAGTACTCTACGCGAGTATTTGGCAAAGTACTCGGTAATCTTTCCTTTTTTTTCCCCGAGTCAAAAAAATGTCATACCTGAAGAGGTTAAGGAAAATTGTGAGCCTCTGGGAAAGGGAAAGATCTCCTCGCATCTCGCTCCCGAGGATTCCAAATTCCCGCGGTGTGTCTCATTTGAATGGAACGGAGCGAAACCTCCTGAGACGCGGTAAATAGGGAAATTGAGGAAATTGGAGGAGGAGAAGGAATGTGGGGACGCATTCAATGTTATCGATCCGAAATACGGTAGTTGAAGATTCCAGCTGTGCTTCATTTCGGCATTATGGGACAGAAGTGGATCGATTTTAATTAGGAAGCGTTCGACGGGTAGCAGGTCGTGTACATCGTAATGGCGTCGATCGTGCTCTTCTCCCGTGAGAATGAGAATACATCAGATTCTTCCAAAAGTCGCATCGAATCGTTTCTTTTTTTTCCTTGTTTTCTCGTAAGTCACCCACTCGAGGAAAGGAGCTTGTCAGGACTCGATGACGAGGATGGAAAACGAGAGCAAGGGGAATCCTCTGAGACGAGAGGAATCCTATTACAGTGATTCAAGGAAGAGAGAGCTTCCGATACGGTTTTTTTTTCGGCAATTCCCGGGGTGATGGGAAAGCGAATGGAAACCATTTCCCCCCCCCCCCTTCTCGCATGTGTTCTACTGGAGATCCTGGATCGAGGGGAAGAATGGTCCAAGGGACAGACATCAGCCGAGGTGTTCCGATCGAACGGAGGATGTCGATATCGGTTCGATGGAGATTCCCGCTCGTCGCCCGTTCCCCACGCTGGCAGTCGGACGTCTTTAGGTTCCCTTCGCTTCGTGCGCCTTGAGGGGAGCTCCAGCTCCATCGTCGTCGTCGAGGACTCTCGGAGGGGAGCCGAAGGGGAACCGAAGGGGAGCCGAGGGGAGCCCGAGGTCGTCGAGGAGGCGTAGCGGTGCAGTGTGCTCCCGGGAGGACTCAGCGGAACGCATCGTGGCGACGGTGCGTCGAGAACCTGACGGTGGAAGCGATCGCAACTCCCGCCGGGAAAGCCAGGAGACAATAATGGAATCGCGGACGGAGCCGAACGGAAAATCGTCGGAGACGGACCCGGCGCTCGGGCGGACTCGCGTGACTGGCAACAATTCCCCGGGAGCCTCGTCATTCCCATCGCCCTCGCGTCCCTTTCGTCGGCGCGAAACGCATCGTTCCCTTCGGATCCCAGACGCGGTCGAGAGCCCGTCGGCGACAGAGCGAAGTTCTCGATCGGCATCTTCCCCTTCTGCGTCGACCGACTCGCGCCCCCCTCTTTCTTCCCTCCACCCCCCCCTCGTATCGAACGAGCAGAAAGAGAGGAGGGGCCCTTGCGGGTTGGCCTTCCGCCAGGCTCCCTCTCTCCCCCTTTCCAGCCTCTTCCTCCACGCGATGCGGACGAGGAAGGCGGGACGGTGACCGGATGGCCGGATCCTCGAAGAAGACCCGGCTGCTGAAGCGCGACGAGGTCCCGCCGTACCTCCGCTTCAACCGGTACATCCACACCGGATACCGGCCGTCCGATCTCACGTGGCGGGAGTGCCTCGTCAGCCTGACGTATTTCCACAATGAGACCGTGAACATCCTCACTCACCGTGAGTCGGTTCTCCTCTTTTTTTTTTTTCTCGCGGGTTTCTCCCTTCGAAGGTGACCTCTTCTCGATCGCGTTCGTGTCGCAACGCGGTGGCGAGAGCGGGGCCGTTCCCTTTTACGGGACGATCGAAGGGGGTCGGGGACGTTTCCAAGGTCGTCGCCTTAAACGCTCGGCTTCGTGAGTCGAACCGAAAGCGATTCGATCTCGAAACAATGGGTTAGCACGAGCGGAATGCAGGAAGGTAGAAATCCTGGCTGGATTAGAGCGAGGGATTCATGACTCGAACGATCGCGCGCCATTAAAGTAGAACTTAAACAGTAACAGACTTCCATTCGTGTCACGGAACCCACTTTCGTCTTCAATCTTTTTTTCACAAAGACAAAGGGGATTAATCGGAACGGAAGCATCGCGTGACGTTCCTCGTGTGCTGCCCACAGTGGTGGTGATATTCCTGTCGGCCTGGGGCCTGTACGTCCTGCCGCCATGGGAGGAGATCACCCTGCCGTACTTCCCGGCCATCCTGTCCATCGGGGTGATGTCGCCGTGGCTGGGGAGCAGCATCTACCATCTCTTCATGAACCATCACCTCGGGGAGTCGCTGTACCAGACGCTGCTGCACATCGACATGCTGGGGATCTGGATCACGCAGACCGTCGGTAGGTGGGGTCGAGGAGGTGAGGGGGGGTGAAGAGGAGGTGAAGGGAGGGGGGGGGGAGGGGGGTTGTTCGGGATTGGGATTTTGGAGTCTTTCGACACTTCCGACTCTGGTGATTTGAGTGCGCTATGGGCGTGTAGGACGTCATACGACGGGCATATGACTGAAAGTGTTAAAGAGCTCAGAGTGAAAGGTTTTCGGGGGAATCGAGTTCCCCATCTGTGAATGATATAGAGCAGAGTGTCAACCATCTCGGTCGGGTAGGTATATCTGATGTTCTAAAGCTATTCGTTCCGCCTCGAACGTTCCGCATGGACTCAGACGCGCAAAGGAAACTTCATTTATATAATATTTCATGCAAGCCCCCCGTTTCAAACCGAGTCTCTCGATGAAAGACCACCAAAGAAGTGAAACACAATCATAAATATTTGAACAGAATGAACTGGACTTCTCACCAAGTTGACCATGGTTATTTATCCGACCCCCCTCCCCCCCCCCCCCCCCCCCCTCCCTTCCCCCCCCCCCCTTCCCCTCGTCATCCAACTCCGTTCGTCCTCCCTAGGGGCGATCCCCCAGATGGTGGCAGCCACGCGATGCCTCCCCTGGACCCTTCGCTGGAGCATCTTCACGCTCTACACCCTCCTCTCCTTCTACGCTCTCGTCAAGGTCCGTGGATTCCTTCGTCCGCTTTTTCTAGCGTCATGAATCTTACATCGCTTAGAATTCACGCGCAGATCAATGTTATAAGATTTGAATGGTGAAATAATTTTTTTTGAGCTTTTGAATGCATCGTAGCATCCAAGGCCGATGATATTTTCTTTCAAGTAACAATTTTTACATTTCTTTGTAGGCTTCAGCCGATTATTTTTTTCTGAAGCTGCCGACGATAAACTTTTCAGCGGCTAGATTACTTTCTGGTAGTTTGGTCACTACTACTTGATCTTCTGTTGGGGTTCGCGATTACCCGAATATTTTGTTCCCCGGGGAATCGTACCAGCAAAGAGATAAACTCAACTCTCTCTCGTCTATTTTAAAATGAAACTGTAACGAGAACGATGATGTCCTATTGACACTATCTCTAGCGTCTTTAACGCGTTGACCGCCACGGCAATGCTGGCATATTGATTTTCCCATCGAGTGAGGCGCACCGGTGCGCCTCGTGGCGGTCAACGTCTTAAATGATCGAGGTATGCATGGTATAGAGTGATTAATTACTCTGGCAATTAGATTACTTTCTCGGTATGTGTAGTTGATAGGTTAGAAGAACTAACTTATTGTATTTGTGTAGTTTAGTTTTACTACCTTGTCAAAAATATTTGTTGGTTTAGTTGCACTAAATTGGCCCTTGGTAACTTGGTAATCGGCAGTTCGGTTGGACTATACATTAGAAGAGATGACTCGGCACTGCTCGGTTCCTAGAGCGACTGAATTACGTTTACGCCCGAACTTTTGCGACGGTTCGCCGGGTCGCTGCCCGACTTCACGACGAGCGTCTCTTCCACTTTTTTTTTTGTTGCACGCATTCATTTCGCATGAATTTTTGTCGTTGTCCCCACTCAGGTGCTTCGGGCGACGGACGCGTGGGCTCGGCGCCTGGCCTTCCAGCTCCTCTTCATCGCGCGGGTCTGCCTGCTGCTGCTGAGGGTGTCGCCTTACGGCGGGGGGCACCCGGACGTCGCCTTGCACGTCCTGTGCCAGGTCGGTGGCCCCGACGAGGGTGTTGCTCCGATTCTCTCTTTTCTCCGATGTTCGATCTTACGAACGATAACTCGATGACGGGAGGGGAACGGGTGCTTTGCTGGCTGAAGCGGACGTGGCGCATTCTCGATTTCCCAACGTTCCGGTTGCCTCAATCGTCCATGAATTTACCGACGACACTCTTGTGGCCGATGCCGCGCAACCGAGTACAGGGCTGGCGTCGAAGCAGATACAAATCTATGCCATATCTCTGCAACTGAATCAGTTTGCTAAGAAGCTTAGCGAAGAAACATTACATCCGATTGCTCTAGATTCTTTTTAGGAATACCATTAGGATAGAATAGCGAGAACCAGAAAATCTTTTGTTTCTTTATCCCATAAGAAATGCAATATTGTGTACCGCTTTTAACTGTTGCTATTCAAACACTAATTTATACATATATATATACAGGAAAGTGAAGCATAAAGACACGAAGGCCATAAACCAACTTCTACTTTTAACTCCCAGGAAAGGCGCTGTGCGTGGCTAGCCAACAGCAACAGACACCCATCCTTGTGGACGAATAAGAAAAGGAAAATAGGCAACATATTCAATCTAGCAAACGTTAAATTCCCAAAAAACTGCCAGCTAAACCAGAAGATGGTAACTTAAGAGAAGTGAAAGCGAAGCAAGCCTATTAGTTCCTGAATGTTCCGCAGGATCCTCATCAGGGGCACGGTCCTGCCAAAACTTTCAGTGCATAACAGATCTTTTTCGGAATTCTCGGTAGAGTTAAGGAAGTTTAGAAGAAATGGATAGGGTATGGCTGAAAGGATGTCAGATGACTTAGGTTGAGGAAACATCTCCGCCCTTCAAGGTTGCTCACTATTTAGATTTAAATTTGGAAATTGCTCATGCTAATATTATCACCAGGATTTATGATAAAAGAAGAGATTTTTCCTTTGAAATCTATAATATGCCTTCTTTCCGTTCGAACATACCAAAATACATTATTGACAATGTAATTAAGTCTCAACTTAGAATTCAAATTTGTAGCAGTTCTGAGAGGTTTGTCTTTAATAGTAGTCTCTTGCATGACAAACTACGAAAGAATGGCTATGGCGCCTGGTTCCTGAAAAATAAATTTGTCCTCTTTAATAAAACCCACTATTTAATTATGGTAGAAAAGTTTGGTGAAACTTTCACCCATCATCCATTTCTTTTCCTTTGATTGTGGGTATAGTTCGGGTCCCAAGCCTAGCATATATGCACCCATGGCCTAGCCCAAATGCGAAGCATTGGCTTCGCATTAATTTTTGATTAATTAATGCTGGATAATCATATCTTTCTTAATTTAATGCTGGATAATCATATCTTTCTTAATTTAATGCTGGATAATCATATCTTTCTTAATTTAATGCTGGATAATCATATCTTTCTTAATTTAATGCTGGATAATCATATTTTTGATACATTAATGAGAGTCCTCCTCCAAGAACATTTCCCCCATCGCCTCAGACAGACGTAAGGACGAGACACGAGACGAACGAGACGGCGAAAAGCTCCTAGGACCCACGGCGCCTTCATTCCGTCCAAGCGAACGAACCCTTTATCGGGCTTCCCACGGATATCCTGCGAAGGAAACCCGAGCGCGAGACCCCTGCAAACCGCGGGAGATACAGGAAGAAGCCTCGTCGTCGATTCGTGGCATCGACAGACGCTTGCAAGAATGTCGTTTAGTTTCATGCGGTGTGCAGTCGTGGACACGTTTGGTTTCATGCAGTCTACGTGAAATGGAACGCGGTGACGCGCGCAAAGCATTCCCGGGAACGAGTACCATTCTCGCGAAGTTGTTGGTATACGTTGGAAAATTTTTCGGAAATATCCGAGTCTCCATCGTAAAAATTTCCGACTATAGCACGTAAACCTGCATTCCCTCAAACGGATGGAAAATTTTTTTCCTGCATACCCTCGGAAATCCGACTTTGGTTTTATTTTCGGAATTTTCCCCTTCTTTTTCAAAAAATATTACGGCTATGGGACCTACACTCGAATTCCGACGTTTAAGCAAACGATCCTTTTCCTCATTCGCGTCGGAAAAGCCTGCTTCGAATATTCTCGGAAAAGCCAAATTATCATTTGGACCTTTCCGTATCGACGGGAAGCCTCCCGACACCTTTAGTTTACATTCCAAACGGTTGATGACTCCCAGTAGCTTCCGATAGCCCCTTGATTGCGACGACGCGATGTTTCCGAAATCGCCCAGTTTTCGTTCTCGAGAAGAAAGGGATTTTTATGCGTATTTCCCCATCGGATACGGGGGAAACGAAGGGCATCACAGCTTCTTCTTCCCGTCGGAGAGGAACTGCTCTGAAACTCGGGACGCCCTGCTTCGCCGACATCATCTGCAGTTCCTGGCTGCCGACGGCCCGCACTTCTTGGACCGTCAAAGTATCAAATATGCAGGTCTCGGTGGTTCTCTCTCTTTGAGAAGAGAGAGAAGCGAGAACGAGTCGCGATCTTTTCTGTACTTGGAGGTACTAAATAATCGTGATAGTGAATGCTCGCGGGTTAATTAGGGAAAGGAGCGTAATGGTGATGAAGTCCCAGATATCATGCACTATTTCGAATTGAAAAGGAGCCGATTTGAATAATGAACGCAATTAAGCAATTAATTAAACCCGACTGAGATGGAAAATTACTTCCGTGCACGGAAACCCGATTCCGACTATGAATTGGAATTTGTCGGAAAATGAGAGAAAAGCTCCATTACTCGCTTTTGTCGGAGGGATCCATTCATAGGTTTTTTTTTTCGGAACAGCATGTTTACGTTAAGAGATGGGAGACATGGATTCCGCTGTGAATCGGAATCCCCTTTTCCGCGCATTAGACGGAAACCCTGCTTCCGATGCCTTAGTCGGAATGATTTTTTACAGTGTAGAAAAGCTTGAGAACTTGATACATTGGAGTCAGCGGGGGAGAACACGGCCGCCATTAAAATCATAGCGCTCCGATTCGTCGAAGGCGCATGAACTGGGGCCGAATCAGGTCGAATCCCCATCTATTATTCACCTCGGAAGATGGTTACGTGGAACGGTTTGCCGGGTTTCATCCCCCTACGAGCGCGGGGACTCATGCATTTTATATTTCACTGCGAAGAAAGCCGTGTGATGAGCGAACGCCCTTCCTCTCCCTCTTTCTCGTTTCATTCCTCTTATTCGGTCCATATTTGTGCATTGACGCTAGATGGCTCTGCTAGGCTGGAGGGTGTCCTCACGAAGAATATTTGCGGGGTTGCAGGTGAAGTTGTTGGCTTTCTTTTGGCATTCCACGTTCCCTTGCTTCTGTCTCGGATCAATGCAATCATTGATCGCCGAGAACGCCGAAAGTTTCTTATTATTTATACACTCTGAAATATGAAAACTTCCAATTTGCTCCAAGACTCCAATTTTGTGGCAACTTTTGTTTTTCGATTCCACCAAGCATGACAATCACCGAGAACGGAATTATTGATGGACTGTTGCGTGACTCGCTTTTGCAGGAAGCCGTTCTGCTCGTCGGAAGCGTGGTTTCGGCGACTCGGATCCCCGAGAGATGGTGGCCAGGCGCTTTCGACTACTGCTGGAATTCCCACAACATCATGCACCTCCTTGTGATCGTGGCCATGTACCACCTGACCGTATCCGGCGGATACGACCTGGCCTGGCTGTCGAAGAACCCCCGCGGTTGCCCCCTCTCCGTCTCGCCCCGACACTGACCCTTGTGATACACCGATCGTCTCGTTCACCCCCGGTGCTCCTTTCTGGGACCATTTTAGTTCGTCTCCACGGATTTTTCTAGCTCGATAGGAGCCCTTCGCTTATTCAAATTGTCGATGCCAAATCTTCACCCATCCTCCGACCCCTGTAAATACGAATGAAGAATGACCCACGAGGGGGAAGAGAGCGGTTGTTGTAGTCAGGGGACACGTCTTTCCATTTAGATGCAAATTTTCCCACGTCTAGTCCTGCAGTTGAAAAGCCGTTATGGAGGCTACGAAGTCGCAAAAACGTGCGAAACCCATAACGTTTTGAACTCGTGAAAGTATGAAACAGTATGATTAAAAACTGCCCCTTGCCGAAGAGGACAAAGGGCTCCAGGTCTTGTGACTTTAGGTAATTCCCCCAGTTTTTTTTTTTTCCCAGACACATTATTCTGCTCACTAGCGCTCAAAGTGACTCAATCCTTGTCAAACTTTTAAGACATTTGATGCCTCTGAAGCTGTCGTCAGAGGCAACTTAGCGAAACTGATGAGGAAACCATTATCATCATCAGGGCTAGGATTTTTACGCATGCCCTTGTTTTTCCCTGAAGCTGAATTTTTTCTCTCCCTCATGGAGGGCACCAATTTGAAGATGAATCTGTACGCAAAATGTGTAATGCATATTTTTTGCATATATTGAACTCACTGTATGAAATGCATATTTTGAGTTATCCAAAGTTGACTGCACATATTCACCCTATTTTCGCCATCGTCTTCATCAAATATGGCTCTGATACTTCCTTTCCCCCCAAACTGCGAGGAAAAGCATTGGGAAACGCGAGGAGCGGACTCTCCAAGGTTGGAGAAAACCCTCTTACCCCAGATTCGCTTCCAGCTGGACGGTGACAGTGCTGCCAGATGTCTCGGCTTCTTCTTCAGATCTCCTTGGCTTCCGACTGGTTATGGAAAAGGGGTCAAAATATCCCGACCGAATTAAAAGTGTGCTTGGTTTGCTTCCACAAACGTCACAGGACCATCTTAGCGTCTTGAATTGTGCATATTTTGTGTACACTTCGCATTTTTTGAGTATTTTTTGAAGTTAATGGTGCATATTTTCAGGAATTCCATGCATAAAAATCCTAGTCCTTATCATCATCATTGCAGGAAATGTACATTACTGGACGTAAATCAAACGGACCATAAAAACATTCATTGACGAAACATTCCTGCAACATTTAAAAACTCGTTTATGAATTGGATAGATTCTATTTCTCACGTTTCAATAAAACGCCCCCAGAACTCTTACTTGTCTACTCTTTATTTGTCATCTCATGCCTATCGTTGCTTACAGCATATCATCCAGAAGTAGTTCATCTTCATTCGATGTAATATTCTCCTGAATCCCGAGTACAGATTTCTGGAAATTCCGATTTTTAAAACGCATACTCCAATTCTTATTAATTTGTGAGAAAAAATAAATTGCCGACAAATCCGGACGCACGAAGAGAAACAGGTAAAGCTCGTACAACGTGCGTGGAAAACAAAGTAAATTCCAATCAGGAATGGGTTCGGGATTCGAGAGGTTACAAGCGGTTCAAAGTCATGCCATTGTGAGGCTTTTTTTTCCGGCAATGTCTGGGTTGCTATTATTGATAAAGGCTTGAATTCTCTCCCACGGCCTAATGGTACCCGATGCAAGTGTAATGAATTTGTGGCACGAAAGCGTGCACTTGAACCACTGCTTTTTACAGGCTTCTTGCGTAAGTAACAGCTCCAGCAAGGATTCTATAGTTGATGATTGTCATGCCTGGATGAAGCAGCCAAAAAAAAACTAAGCCTGTATTGCAATACTACTACTTCAATATTCACTTAAGAAACCCTCGTTACCAATGCGACCTAATATTTATTATTGGGCCAGTACGAATAGAGGCTTATCCGGTAGAGTGATTTTTGATCGATTGCGCTCCCTACCTCCTTCCGAATGGCACACGCCATCCAACTGAGCGACATCTGCTGTATCAAAATAACTCCCCCTGGCTCTTATAAGTGGCTTAAGAGGGGGATACACTGTTTTCGGATTGAATTCGCGGGGGGAGAAAAACACAACTTTCAGAGGATTCACATTATCAGATGATCCACGAAACCACTCGTGGAATATGTCACTACCTGCAATCGATGGAAGTGGTTCTATGAGGAGGGGGGGTACGAATTCAAACCGAAATCAGTGCAAGTACTTCCCGCTTCCGCAATAGTAAGGGAGGTACAGTCAATCGAAAATCACTGCATACACAAAGAACTCTATGCCCTTGAGACAAAGATATTTAGTAGCTCGTGTCACATGTCATGTAGATGGTGATAAGTGGTGTGAATATCAACTAGTCGATACCAGCACCTCACAACTCGCGTGGAACGAGAGGGCGGGTCATAATGCCGGAGCCCGGAGCAGGGGAGCAACTGACCAATGTGATCGCGTCAACGTGGCGTAGCAGACGACAGTCATGTGATACGGACCAATCTGGACGAAGCACGTTATGGCCGCACATGGCGTTTCTCTTCCGTTCCCAGTCCAGGTTTGCCGCATCAGTCTAATAAACACAGTCACTGTTCATTCCGGGCAAGGAACTGTGGCTGACGTAGCCTCCCCTTCCATCCCCTAAAATCCCTCTCCATATGGCGCTAAGTTAAGCTTTTCCTCTATCATTTTCCTTGTGCTGCTGTTTTAAACACGATTATAAATCTAGGCTAGATAAACCGCGGCTACGCCCATGATGTCAATGCATATTGCTAATTTATGGAATTCTGCTCCACAGATTCTGTTGGAAATTCGAGTACTTGATCTGCTTCAAACTTTCATGGATCTGAGTTGACACGAAGTGTGACTAACTTATTCGGGCGTGAACATATATCAGGATATATACCCGTAGCCCCAAACGTTAGATCTAACGTTGGCCTTAACAATTCCCGAGTCATCATCTCTAACAACGCTGACCGTGTAACAATATGAGCAGGGGTACCCATCTCCAGCTATGGGGCTGGCTTGGTAAGTTAAGACTGTGCTCTGTTGTAATGGCTTTTTGCTAATGTTAGAGATTGAACCTTTTTTTTTTTTTAGTTTAATCCTTATAGTGCCTGAGTCGCTTACAGCGACGCTACAAATATCCCTTCAGAATGCCAGAGTCGAAGAGCTGACACTAAAACGTCCAAAGTTCAAGAAGGAACACAATCGAATGCTTGGACTAGAAACATTTCTTAAACCTTTAATTGTTAGCTCTTTGACTCTTTGCCTTTTTCAATGAAATTCTTAGCATTGCTCTAATCGGCTCTGGCATTATAAGGGTTAATAGGCTGAGGTGAATTCAGTACAACTTCCTTGGCCTGGAACTACTGGAGGGATGACACCTGTATGAAAAGTTTCATGCATTCATTTCTATCATAGGTGTTGTCTCATTGCTGTTGAGTGAAGTGGCTGCACTGTATTCGTCCACGTCAAATGTGATAGACCTGAATCCGTCAAACTTTGATGCCAGAGTACTACAGTCTGATGAAGTTTGGGTTGTTGAATTCTATGCTCCCTGGTGTGGCCACTGCCAATCTCTTGCACCAGAATATCAGAAAGCAGCCACAGCCCTCAAGGTAGGTCTGGCAGGAGGGTCAAGGATTAAGTGGAATGTACCAAATGCTGTCAACAAGAAATCAGACCAGTCATATATAGTGCAGTTTATCCTATAACTTTATTGAATCATTCTTAAGCATTACTTGGTCAACATGTGACTTTCTCATTATAAATCTTATTCATTCTTCCTTTGCTACTATATTTTCTTGGGTGGAATTCCTTAAATATCTTGGATCTAGCAGGCAGGATGTCTAGGGTTTGAATAGGATGAAATTTTCTTCTGGGTTAAGGGCTCACTTAGCTGCTGTGTGCTTCACCTTGAGTTCAGACTGACTACTCTTGAAATGTGCAGTAGTCATGAGGATATTGTTCCTTCTTGGATGCTCTTTCTTTTGTGTTGACAATGTACATGCTTATTCAAGCCTGCATGAATATCTATATGGAGAGGATGTGCTGCAGCCATGAATAAATGAATCAGATCAGATTTAGTTCTATTTTCTGCTTTGCTCAAGTAATGTGATCAGTTGTTATTTGGTTATATTTGGAGTAAGTTACTATGCATTAGGTGAAACTTGAATCAAGTCAAGAAGGAATTTAAATCAGTGCTGATAGTATTCGGTGCATTCTACATCATTTAATATCAGATGGTGTGAGTTTGATTGTAATGAATTTGTAGGGTGTAGTCAAAGTTGGTGCTGTGGATGCAGCTGAGCATACAGGTCTAGGTGGCCAGTATCAAGTACAAGGGTTTCCAACCATCAAGATCTTCCATGGGAAAGGACAAAAGCCCACTGACTTCCAGGGCTCACGAACTGCTCAAGGCATTGTGGATGCTGCTCTGAAGGCACTCAAAGACAAGACTTATGAAAGGCTTGGCATGAAGGTAAAGGGTTACTTGAACCTAACTCTGAAGCATGCAATGACTGAATGGGTGCACAGCTGATGAAATTCTTCTTTCAATTTAGTCTGGAGGTGGTGGGAATGGAGGAAAGACCGGAGATGTCATTGAATTGACTGATAGCAACTTTGATGAAACCATCTTCAGTTCAGAGGATATTTGGTTGGTGGAATTTTATGCTCCTTGGTGTGGACACTGCAAGAACCTTGCTCCTCATTGGGCAAAAGCTGCCTCTGAACTCAAGGGCAAGGTTGGTCTCCTAGATTTTTGAGAATGTATCAGCAGTAGTATTTTGCAGTCATTTCATAATGTGCTTCAGGTGAAATTGGCAGCCATTGATGCCACAGCAAATCGGGAGAAAGCAACTGAATATGGCATCCAGGGGTTCCCTACAATCAAGTTCTTCCCAGCTGGTAAGAAAAAGGGAAGCCACAGTGCTGAAGAGTACACAGGAGGACGGACCAGTGCAGATATTGTTGCATGGGCTTTGGAAAAATATGAGGTCAATGTGGAGCCTCCTGAGATAATAGAGGTAACCCTCATCCACCTGTCTGAAAGATTGAGGGACCTAGAATGGTAGTTTTTTTAAATTGCACTCAATCACTCATTTGCACAGTTGATAGATGCATCAGTGCTGAAGGAAGCATGTGAGGAACATCCACTATGTGTCATCTCCATTCTGCCAGATCTCCTTGATTGCCAATCAAAATGCCGCAACAAATACCTGAAAACCCTTCGGGATCTTGGAGAAAAGTTCAAACAGAAGAACTGGGGGTAGATATATATTCTTTAGTTGTTTCAGATTTTAGGAATGGCATCATGATGATTCTGTGATGTATTTCAGTTGGGTCTGGACATCTGCTCTGTCACAGCCAGCTGTTGAGAAAGCTCTTGACTTGGGTGGATTTGGCTACCCAGCCATGGCTGTTCTGAATCAGAAGAAAAAGAAATTCTCAACCCTTCGTGGCTCATTTGACAGCACTGGCATCTATGAATTTCTTAGGTCAGTGACCTTCATGTCATGTTGATTTTCCACAGGATGATGGAAATTTTTTTATTTTGCTGGTATTTGCTTCCTCTCCCTTACCTAGATCAAAATCATGCATGGAAGGGGGTGCCATATCCATTTTTTTCTTTGGGCATTGTGGTAATGGGGAACTGAAACCTTAATGAGCCCCTATTCTTTTTTTTCTTTTTTTTTTTTTGGAGTAAGGGAAAATTAGTGAATGAGTTCCTGACTAGGCTTTCTCTCCTACGTGTCAGTGAATCCCACTTGGCCAAAGTTTATGCAAAGTGTAAGCATCACTGGTTGCCAGTTTCTTTGACCAAAAAGGGCTATTTAATTTATTTTTTATTTTTTTTTTGTAATAGGAACAGAATAAGACTAATAGTAAATATTTGATCTATGACTTTGAAAAAGTTGGAACACATTTGAGACCTGAATTCAATTACTCTTTTTCTATGGTGTTTATTAACCCCTCATATTCAGCTTTGAAAAGGTAATTCTGGAGCATAATCTGAGGCTACATAATTAATCTTTTCTCTGCGCTTTTCATGATGAGAGAGAAAAGCTATCAATATGTTCCCTCCCGTGTACCTGTGACTAGATGGATGAAGGAGTAAGACAACTCTCAGCCAAAGAAAGTATGTATGTTAAGACTGGAATTACTGCACTAACCACTAGGATGGTTCTTATTCAGTCACCTTCATTGTCACCTTCATTATGAACCTATTTGCCACATCCAATGTAGGGTCAGCAGATGGATACCACTTGCCATTCGTGGATATAATATATAGCTGCTGGTTTCTTTGAGAGGACTAAATTATTCAAGGATGTTTGATAAAGGCACCTATTCTATTATACATAAAAGCTGCTGGTTTTACAAATGAAAGTCAATGTTTGGTATGCCTGGCAATGGATAGGGGATGGAAGTTTTCCAAAGCTGGATTGGAATGAAAACCAGAGCATCCTAAGGATATCCACCCAGAACAGAACCTAAAATTGAAAAAAATGAGAAAATGTGTTAAAGGACTAATTCATTCACTCCTGTATTGAATCCACAACCAAACAGTTGTTTTTTTTTTTCTTAATGGAATAATATTGAACTCTTCCAAATGAGGTAGAGTGGTTCTAAGAAGTTGTGCAGCTAGAACAAAGCAAAAGCTTGGATCATGTGATGTCATATTTCATTCCTTTCCATGCCCTGATCTAAACTGTTGTGCAGTGAAAAGAATGGAATTCTCATCTCATGACCCTGAAGTCAGATGGGAGCATGGTAGTGTGCAAAGCATGCCATGTGCCTCACATTATTTCTTGGCCATTTCAGGGACCTCTCATATGGGAAGGGAATAACAGCCTCCCTGCAAGATGATGGATTGCCTAAGGTGGTTGCTGTTCCTGCTTGGGATGGACAGGATGCTGTTATGGAAGTGACAGATGACATCGACTTGTCTGATGTCATCTTGGATGACCTGGATGCAAAGGATGAGCTCTAGACATTTGAGTTGCCCTCCCCCTTCCAAGCCCCCCCCCCCTTGAGTGATTTTTGTCTCAGTGAAATTTGTGATATGGACCCAGACATGGCTGCAAAGCATTTTCTGATGTGAGTCCTCCTATTCCACCAGAAGCTTTCTTCCCTTTGTGACCTATTACTGTTTGGAGGATCTCTTGCTTGGGAAATAAAAAATCGTTTGTTCCTTCTACTTTTGAGGGTCCTGTGGGGAAAAAAATGATTAAAAGGATGTGCATTCCTCTCAGTTGTCTGTCAATTTCCAGTCTTTTTCTATGTGCAACCAAATTATGCTGCAATAAGGTATAGTAAAATTACTCTGACTTGTCATAATCACCTATGACTATCACCCTCTGCATGTTATGGAGGAAAAGCTTCTAGAACAGGGCATCAAATAACTGGGAGCGAGAGCATCTTTGTTTAATTTCTCAATATGATCTTACATTGCACGGATTAAAATTTCTTATTCCAACTTCTGTGATTGAATTCAGGCTGCTCAGGATGAGCACCCTATGTGAGAACATGGGTCATTTCCTTCTTGATCACATACAGTCATACCCACTGGTGGTAATAGCTCTTTGTGACGGGAAGTTCAATGGGACCTTGATGGCTATGATCCAACTTGCTGATGCTTGGGTGCAGAATTCTCTGGGAAGGGTGGTATAGTGCAGTACCACTCCACAGCAGACTTGCTTAAAATCTCATCTAAATTCCACAACCCATCTTGCTCTTGCTGTATGAGTGCCCACCTAACACTGTCCCAGAGCATTAGTTCCTTTCTTATTCAAAAGCTATTTCTGATCTTACAGTTTTTTCCAATTGCTAAAGTCCTATTTCATATCTCAATGGACATTTTTCAAAACTTAACGTACGATCCGCAAAACGCTGCGCTCTTTTCTCATATCTATGCGTCCGGCAGTCAAAAGGGCGTCCCTTTGTCAAAATCAAAGTACGTTCTTCAATATTCTAACGTACGGGGTTAGGAACGTCTATGGACAGCCAAGAAGCAGACCGGGAAAATAATTCCTCCGAATACGGAAAGGCGATAATGTGATGATGTAATACTTTCAAAACTTAACGTACCCGTGTCAAAACTGTACGTACTGCTGTCGAGATTCAATTTCCGCTCTCCAAAAGGGACAACAGAACGTCCTACAATCAATTTCTAACGTACCTGGAGTCAAAACTTAACGCACCATCGGCAAAACTCTCAGGACGATCCATTACTGTGAATGGGAAGGCGAGGAGTCTCGCGGATCGATGCCCGCCCTGTCAGCCATACAAAGCGAAACCGACCAGAACCTCCCCAATGTCTTTCAATGGAGCGTAAGTTACTTTTTGAGGCAAGGACGTTAAGTTTTGACGCGAGTGCCTTAAATTCGCTCTAAAGGACACCAGCAACGTATTCTATCAGAAAGTTTGTTTCGGTGAAGGACGTATGGCACGTATACTGTATGAAAATTTTAAATATAATTAATGGCGCTATATCTGGTTGATGGTGTGCTAGTGCCAATAAACTAAAGTCATTTCTCTATGAAATTTGTTCATGAACTATTTTTACAGTTTTGCAGATCATACGCTGAGGACCTCTTGTCCTCAACGTCTACTCAGACAACTAACACAATATAGGTT